CAAGATTGGATTTTTTTCTCATTGAAAACAAGTGGGGAAGAAAGGAGCAGAATCTTGATTCAGATGCCACACCCTCACTTTTACTTTTAGTAGATTTTCTTCTCTTTTATTTTTTTTAAGAGCACAGTGCATTCATAACAGAACAAGAAATAAAGTCAGTTTATAAAATCAAAAAAAAGACTTCTAAGACAAAAACTATTGTTAATGAGGTAGATGACTCTGGAGGAAGGTTTATTTGAGGGGGTGTGTGTGACAGTCTCAGGCTAGAACTCAGGGACTTTATCATAGCTCACTGCAACCTCAGATACCTGAGCTGAGGCCATCCTTGGGCCTCAGCCTCCTGAGTAGCTGGGACTTCAGGTGCAGGCCAACATGCCTGTACAATTTTTTAATTTTTTGTTGAGATGTGGTGTGGGTACTGCAAGTAATCCTCTCACATAGGCCTCCCAAAGTCTGGCTTTAAAGAATGTTTACCCAGACTTTGGGTAGCAGGTCAGCCAAGCTACTCACTCTGTCATGCCAGCAAGAAAAAAAGTTGAGGCCTCATAAACCTAGTAAAAATGTTTAGACTCTCACACTAATTAAATTTAAATATTTTATATCCTGGGGGAATGCAGTGGCTCACAACAATATTAATATTCTGTGAGACCAAGGTGGGAAGAATGACCTCAGGGTTTTGAGAGCAGACAAGCAATAATAAGACACTGTTGCTACTAAAAATAGAAAAATTGTACAGGCATGGTGGCGTTTGCTTATAGTCCCAACTATTTGGGAGGCTGAGGCAGGCAGATGACTTGAGCCCAGGAATTTGCGGTTGCTTTGAGCTGTGGTGATGCCATTGCACTCTACTCAGTGTAACAGAGCAAGACTCTGTCTGGGAAAAAAAAAAAGACTTCATTGTTGCAACTTAATTAAAAAAACCTATTTCCTCTTCACACTAATAAATCTATTTACTTCCATAGTGTATCATGTGGGCTATTTCATTTTATGTATAATATAACTAAATATTAATAGTTTCATTTCCTGTTTTCCCCTAACTTAATACCTTATTCGGGTTTTTGTTTCCAAAATCACCTGTTACATTTTGTACATTGGTGTTTATTATAAACATCTGCTCATCAGGCTGCTACCAACTAATCAATTCAGTTGACTCTTGAACAACACAGGAGGTAGGGGTGCCAGCCTCTCCCACAGTCGAAATGCCCTATACAGCTATTGACACCACCGAAAGGTAATTGCGCATGGCCTGCTGTCAGCCAGAAGCCTTGCCAAATAACGTAGTCAGTGAACAGACTTTTGTATTACACGTGTTCTGTACTTTATTCTCACAATAAAAGAAGCCAGAGGAAAGAGAATATTATTAAGAAAATCATAAGAAAGAGAAAATACACTTACTATTCATCGAGTGAAAAAGGGTCATCATGAAGGTCATCATCATCATCATCGTCACATTGAGTGGGGGGAACCGAAGGGGGTTGATCTTGCTGTCTGAGGAAGAGGTGGCAGAGGGGAAGAAAGTCGGCATGTCCTCGGCCAGACAGTTAAGTCGGCCAACTCCTCCTAGAAGAAACACTCCACCTCCCTACCTCCTGGCTGCATATCCCTGCAGTCAATGACTTTGACGTTCTCCCCCTGGGAAGCTATGCACTGAGCCCAGCGCCTGCGTCACCCTTCCATGCAGTTTTAGGACTCTTTTTTTTCTAGAATGGTCATCAGAGCTGTCATCATGCCAGGTCAGACAATTAAGTTCTCGAATTCGTCATTTCGTCCTTTCTAGGTGCTTGGAAGGGTGGACTAGGCAGTGACGTAGGTGTGTAGCTTCCCAAGGGGAGCACCTTGAAGGTGGCTGTAGTGGTTCTCAGCATTGAGGTATGTAGACTTCCTCTAGGACGAGTTTGCAAGCTTAATCGTCCAACCTCATAAGTGGACCCAGGCAGTTACACCTGAGTTGTTCATGGTCAACTGTAATCTTACGATCTAGGTGAAAGCTCCATTGCTGTGGATTACTTTCATTAACAGATTGCGTGTTTTCTCATTTTGTGTTTCCCCTCCTCCTCGTAGTTCTGGACATGGCGAGACATGTGCCGCTCTATCGGGCTCTGCTGGAATTGCTCCGGGCCATTGCTTCCTGTACCTCTATGGTGCCCCTGTTGTTGCCTCTTTCTACAGAGAATGGTGAAGAGGAGGAAGAACAGTCCGAGTGTCAGACTTCTGTCGGCACATTATTAGCCAAAATGAAGACCTGTGTGGACACCTACACCAACCGTTTAAGGTACAAGACTGTGTTCGTGTCTGTTGAGCTTGCCTCCAAAAGTGTTTTTAAATGGGTCTGTGATTGGTTTTTTAGGTAATGGTCTATGCCATTTCAACATACACACACAAGCAGTAAACATGCAGAGAGAAAGTTATCCTCCCAAATCCTGTGCATAGAAACATTTATTCACTGTGGCTTACCACACACCTCCCTATGTGATCTTACAGCTATAGGTACTCAGCTTTTCTTAAGTGCTGTCACGTTGTACCTGTTGGGCAAGTTGATGCTAGCTTTACTCACAGTTGATGTCAGAGGCATCTTTCAGTATTGATCAATATGTGTCGCTGACATTGTTCTTAATACCTCTAATTCTCCATCGTACATAGATGCTGTGTGGTACTTAGCCATTTGTTACTGGGTTTTAGGTAGTTTTCAGTTGCTCATAATCTCATCTATCTACATCTTTCGGGGCTTATAGAAATCTCTGTAGGGTAAACTATTAGAAGCAAAATAACTTGACTTATAGATAACCCTTGTTTCATTTTGATATGATTCATGCTATAATCTTTTTCAGAAGTCAAAGGATTCAGTATTTGTTGGCATTGTAATAGAGTTGAATGTTTATCTTTATGGAAAATTGAAATTTTAAGTTATTTTTAGTTTGTTTATAATTTAGTAGATTTAGAAGATGAGCTTTGTTATCAAAAGCTTTTTAAAAATAGTGTAGGAAACCTTTTCCTTTCTCTGAGCAGAATCTCTTCAGAGGTTGTCACTTTCCTTACAGATGACCTAATTCTGATTTTTAAGACATTTATACTGCCAGTGTAAGTTTGTTACTTTCTCAGTGGCCTGTAGAGTCAGTTAATGTTCTTTACCATCTTCATGCTATATTTGCTTTGCATGTTCCCACTATTTTTTAAGAACCTACAACTTAAGAAACTGTGTGGTCTAAGAGTGGCAGAGATTTGGTCACTGGAAGAATAGTGTTCTTCAGTCTTTTCTTGCAGGGAGAAATCAACTCAGTAGATAATCCTAATTTTGTTGGCATAATGTGTTGCTATTATTACTTTGAAAATTAAGGGATCACTGCCAGGCAGCGAGAATCATAGATTAAAGAAGAGGTTAAAAACAGATTTATTTGGTAGAGATGAAAAAAAGCTATAGGCTCATATTATCTGTTACTAGGGAAGGAAAATGTAAAGGTATTTGTTTTTTGATAGTATGATTTTGTTGGTGTAGAGAACAGAATATTTGTATTATGTAAGAATAGTATGGTATCATCATTGACCTAGACATCTAATTGTCTAATTGAGCGAAATATCTAACAGAATGTCCTGTATCCACCTTAGCTATCCATGCCCTTACTGTAAAGATGGTGCTTTCTTCAGCAGCACATGTACTTACCATAAAGATGTTTTGGAAAAATCAGTTGTTATAATATATACCAAGCTTTGAATTGCCTAGGTCTTTTTAGGAGGAGTTTTGCCCAGTATTTCTGTATCTTCTATCTGTGTTTTGAGATGACTGTTAGCTTATAACTAAACATTAAACATTTATAAAACCTTGAGTTGTTGTTTTTACTCAGGGATATTTATTTTCTTTCTCAGATGAAAAATTCTGTAGTGATTTAGAATGTTGTTGCAATTATAGCCTTGATCAAAAACACTACAGACTTGTAGTGGTATAAATGTAAAATAAAATAAGAGTATCTTTCTTTATACCATATATATTCTTATGCTATAATTTCTATTGGATTCTTCAAAAAGGGGGTTAGAGAGTATTGCATTCTAAGATAAGTATTAAAGATAATTGCTTACTGCAGTGAATGGAATTTATATATCTGTAGTGCCTCTTTGGTGTTTTCTTTCCTTAAATTAATATGTTTCCTATTCTCGTAACACATACTGTATACTCTTTTGAAAAAGGAATCTTGATTACTGTATAAAAATTATTAATTTCACTCTGAAGATTTAATTGCAGATAGAGGATAACTGTCCATTCCTGGAGCTCTTTATTTTTGTTTGATTAGCTAGAAAAAAATTACTCTTCACATTTTTGCTTCTATAATTTAAAAAAATTACTTAGACATATGAATGAATTATGTACCAGCAAAACATGCATGTGAAGATCATACAGACTGTTGACAATACTCATTTCATTTAGATTATTTGTCTTGACAGTGACCCAGTAACTATTTTGGGTAACTTCATTTCTGAAAAGGAATCCGTAGTGTGTTTTGTATTAGCCCATCAATGACCAGCAATTTTATGCAGAAACAACCCGTGTCATCGGGTAACTTGTGACCAGTCAGCAGTGTGTTAATAGGACTATACGCCTTAGTTGAGACCCTTCATGATAGTGGTTAAACTGTGCATCTTTTGTTAGAAAAGGAAACCAATTAGGACATACATTATTACATCCCTACTCTCCTGTCATGGAATTCACGAAGAAAGTGAAATCTATTCTTTTCCAGCCTGTCAAGACTTAGAATGTATTTGTTTTCATCATAATAGAACTTTAAAAAGTGAACAAAATAATACAGCTTCCTATAGAGCTTATACCCAAAGAAATTAGCCTTATTTCAATTTTTACACTGTCTCAGCCTTCTCCTCAACTGTATTTCACAAACCCTAAAACAGTGGTTCTCAACCTGCCTAATGCCACAGCCCTTTAATACAATTCCTCATGTTATGATCACCCCCAACCACAAAATTGTTTTCGTTGTGACTTCATAACTGTAATTTTGCTACTGATATGGATCGTAATGTAAATATCTGATATGCAGGATGTATTGAGGCGACAGGTTGAGAACCGCTGCCTACAACGTTCTAAGTAGTCAAGAAAATAGGTTCTGCTTATATGTATTTTACTGCATGCAAGGGCTTGGAATTATTACTTTTAAATAATGTGTGCTGCACACTTGGAGATTTTTCACAATTTGTTGTTATTGTTGTTTCTGCTCTGTAACTGAGAAATCCAAGAGTGAATAACGTGCATATATTTGGTAAGGTTTTTCTTTTCTTTTCTTTTTTTTTAAAGTGAGAGCAAGGAGTAGTTTGATGATCATATATGTCTTGTATTGCCTTTTCCTCCTTT